ATATGAAAAAGTGGAGAGGCTAAAAATCAGTTCAGATGCAACAGGATAAAAAGGACCAGGAACTTCAAATATCTATGATCCCTGCACAATTATACAATAATTATTATTTCCTGTATATCAACTGTGGATTAAAAAGAAAAAAAAAAAACTACAAACAAACCAAACAAACAAACAAACAAAAATACAAAAGAAAAAAGAAAAGAAACACAGCTGCCAAGTTCTATTTTGGCCCTTCGGTGAGGGCAGGTTTTTTCTTTAGACAGGAAAAGATCTGCGTGCATGAGAAAATGGTACTGCCTGATGGGAGCTAGTTTTAGTGGAAAAGTGAGATAACAGAAGAAAAATATGCCTGTAGAGGCCTCTGAGCATCCAAGGCATCGGGAACTACAAATGCTTTCAGACCCTGATCTTTTATCACTGAAACCTTGTGTGATCATTCAGTCTCCAAGCAGCCTGTTCTTGCTAGTTTGAGTTTGAAAAATGAAACAAGTGGTTACATGGTTGTATTTGACAAAACTTGTATAGAAGCTTGGCAGGTTTGCACAGATTTCAGCAATTCCTAATTAGAAAAATGGAGGAAACTGATTTCCCATGACACAGCAAGACACAACCATTGAAGTCAGTACAAATTTAATTTCCCTGAGTCTCCGAGATCTCTTGGACCTTCAAAGAGAATCACACTGAATCACTGCTGCCTCTTTTTTCTCTTGGCACTGTGTTTGGGATCAGCTTCTCTAAGCGGCACCCAGCAAAAACCACTGAAACAGTAATATATTGTAATTACTACATAGAGATAGTATACTTACTAATATGTACTAGTAGTAATATAATACACACAGAGCTATCTTCATTTTGAGCACTGCTGTCCTCCTGCTGCTTCTTAAAGCAAAGAAGGTTGTATTCATTTCTGGCAGCTCTTACAAACCTTTCTGCTGCCATGTTCTGTCATCAGCTGCCCTCAGCCAGAAAATGTTATGTACTGTGCAGTTAACCCCAGCAAAAGTTGTTATCTACCATATTAAACACAGGCACAAAACCATCAGAGCTCCACATTTTTTACAAACTAAGCCGAAATAAAATTACAGACTTAATCTGAAGATGTCTCAGCTTCTAATCTCTGAGATCTGAGTATCTGAAACCTCCAAACTCTAGCCTTTGTCTAATCCATCAGTACTTCTCCCGACCACTACAAATACCAGCACATCTTAAGAATGTCAGCAAAGATGTCCTACCAAATATTTTCCTCTGTTTTTTTTTTCTCCTTGATGAATAGCAAAATCTACTTTAATGCACCAATTTTCATTAACAGGCTTGACAAATACCAGCAGGATTTACAAAAGCAGCACAGTGCTCATCAATAAAGCCCATACAGATGTATTTCTGTGTCCATGAAGGAAACAGCTGTTTGCTGAATTTAGGATAATGAAATCTTCCTTGACATACAGACTGTGAACAACACCATATCGGCATGCCCAATGTGTATCAACAGTTCTTGTTAGGTTTCATAGCTTCGAGGCTTATCAGACCATTTCTCTGCATTTCCCTGAACAATGTTTGAGCCACAGATGTTGGAAAGAAAACAGACGGCAAATACACTGGAGAGTAGAACAAATCCCCAGCTTCCAGTGTAGACTTTGCCTATGTCCACTAAAACTGTATTCAAACAGCAAACAAAGTAAATAGCAAGCAGAGTTTGTCCAAAAATAGCTCTAAATGTTTTCAGTATAAGAGATGTTAATGATAGATACATCATCCCCTTCTTGGCTTACACAGTTCTGCAAGGAGATTCAAGTCCTTAACAGTTTTCTCACTAGGAAGTAAAACTTTTTCATAAGCTGGGTGACCTTCACTACCAAGCAACAGGAACTGCTCTGCTAATATGGTTGCATATAGGTGGGAGACATGGTTTGAAGGTTATAGGTGAGTTCAAAGCCCATAACAATTTATACCTGAGAAGATTTAACTGTGCAGCAGCTGACTTTGTAGTGAATAGGCTCCTTCTGTATTTATCCTTATCCCCGTTTTGTGAGGATAGGAATTTGCAACTTACATGTTGGCTTGTCAAAATCTGATTTCGTTATCAGTTTTATTCCAGCCAAGTTTGACCTGAGCCATGGATGATGTCTAATCTTACCAGAACCAGATCTTTTTATTGCTTTGCTTTCTGAAGTTGACCTTGTTTGTTAACTGGTTCAATACGTAATAGCTACGCTTCACGACAGCCTCCTCAACCACATTATTCAAAGTTCTTTAAGATTTGAAGTTGGGGCTTTCAGTAGGATTTATTTGTTTTTACTATTATAGAGAACTAAGGAATATCACATTTCTGTGACAGGCATCAGGTCCATTTTATGAGCAAAGGAAACAACACAGCATTTTACTGATTACTCGGAGATAGAAATAAATATAGACCTGATAAAGATCTGTAATTTTTTACTGGTAAGCACTAAAAGACTATTCCTGAACAAAACAAGATTATTTAGTGCTAATTACAGCATTCAACCTAACTGCTAAAAGATTATTTGAGGGCAAGAGAATTTTCTAAATATAACAAATTATTTCAGAAAATCATCTGGGGATAAATTCAGGGATGGAAGAAAGCTGGACTTTGTGAAGTTTTATTTACATATGTAATTATAAATATTTTAATGTGTCATTATATTTCCTGTGTAACTTGGAAATTTACTTGTGCTTTTAACATGTAAAGTTTTAGATTACTGCACCCTTTGTAAGCAAACATAACTGTTTGCTCTCTAGAGCAATAATGTTCTAACCACAGAGCCCAGTTTTGATTTTTATGTTTAGCTTCTCCTGCTACATTTTAACTTCATCTGGCAGATGCATAACAAATACTCAGTTCCTGCAAGCCAGTTTATCCCTTTCTTTTTCAAGGAATACGTTTTTCATCCCTTGTCTACACTTTGTAAAATATTTTTAGTCCATCACGATTCTTCTGAAGTTATTGCAAATGATAAAATAGAGCCAATGAGTCCTATTCATTCATGCTGCATCTCTGATAAGAGTCTAGAGGTTAAGAATTTTCCATGGTAACTAGAATGGCTTAAAGGTCTTCTGACAATAACATGATGGATTCCAATTTCAGTCATTCAGGAATAAATCTATTATTTTAAGCAAAGTCACTCCAAAGATACCCATTCTTCCACTTCTAACACCAAGTGCTACTGAGGGGCCTTAACAGCCCTGACTCCAGAAAGAAAAATCGTCTGGCTTGGATGTAAGGTAAAAATGCCCATTTCCAGGAAACATCTGGCAAACACTTTCCAGTGTTTGCAGCTTTGGTAGGGAGGGGTCCAGAGAAAGGAGAGGTTTGTTGGGGGTGAAGACTTATAGCTGTAGGTAAATATATCTATTTTTGGGAAAATTGCGTAGTTTATACAAATGTTCACTGTTGCTTTGATCACCTTCAAATGCTTGAAGTTAGTTGCCTGACTAAATTCATGTGAAGCATCATACAGCTTATTATTTGCTGGATTGGGCTGTTGTGACAATGTAGGGTAATTATTCATTGCAAAAATATTTACGGTCCTTCCTGCCATCAGATAGCTTGGTGTACTTATGCAGGGCAGTAATTGATTTTTTTTAAATGTACAAAATTTCTGCACTTTTAGACAAGAACTGCAACTTAAAGAAAAAACATTCAGCTACACTACAGTGTCAAGTGCAACCATGGATAAATTGATGTGTCAGTCATAACATTATCCAAAACCTCTCTGGATGGAGTTACCTTTGCATGAGTTAGTGCAAAAAGGGAACATAAGTGGGACTGAAAAAATGACTATTTTTGAAGGGAGGGAAATGTGGACACAACATATCTGCTACAGAACAGCATTCTATTCCTTTTGGCACAGTAAACCTAATTAAATAGTTACATTTTTAAATCTTTATGAGAATCTTAATTATTAATGTCATCAACAGGCTGAAAAAAATGTAGGTTAGATGTGGAGAGAGTTTGGCTCTCCGAAGAAATTACTTAAAAGCAATTTTTTTTGCATGACTAAACACATGTGCACACAGACTAGATAGTCACACTTTACAGTGAGGTTACACTTATAAATTATTTATAAAGGGTTGGTAAACACTGTAGGCTATTATAGAATCCACAAAGTCCATAGTTTTGTTATAACTATGCATAACACCCTCAAGTAATGTGCAACCAAGTATAATTTATGAAAGTCATATCCGTAGTATTGTTTATGATGTATATTAATCATTTATTAATCCTTTATGAGCTATTTATAAATGCAGTCTTAATGGAAAGCATGGCTGACTAGTTGCTCCGTTGCACTAGCTGCATGGGAGTTAAAGGTTGCAGGCCTCTGCCCCTCCTTTTTAACAAGCTAAGCAGTCTTTAGACAAGGCAACACTCACTAGCTGTTTCCTTACAGACTCCTAGGAAGTTGGAAATCTGAGAGAGGCATTATGAAGAGGTTTTGCTTGTAAGCAAATGTACAGAATCCTTTTTTTGCATCTTCTCCAATATTTCAGTAGAGATACCCCAGGTCTGCTTTGCAGGGTCCATGAGGCAGAACTCCTTGCAGATGACCCACACATATTAAAGTCTATGAAGTCTTGGTTCCTGAGGACTCTTGTGTAGTTGCGTACATCAGGCCACCAAACTATGGGCTGTATTTCTAGGAACTGAGCAGAGAAGGATTGCTGTGTAAATGTGCACGTCCTTGTGGTTTCTGCAGGAAAATGGGCAATGTAACAGAAATGACTGCTATAGTCTAGGCTACCATAATGTCTAGGAACAAATCCTGTCTTGCAGTATTATTCTTCTGCTCCAAAGAAATTCTGCCTGCCAAGGTACAGCTACTTGTGCTTGCTGCAGGCAAGCTCCACTAACTTTCATGTGACAGTGCAGTTTTATCGCTGCTCTTTGCTTCTTTATGCATCCTGTGAAATCTCTTGCTGAGGCATTTCATACTGGAATACCATCCCAGTGCATTAATTCTTCATTTGTTCTTTTGCAGGAAACAGATCTCATTCTGACATTTAATATCTCAATGCATCGTTCTTGGTGGATGGAGAATGGGCCGGGCTGCACCGTGACCTCAGTAACCCCAGCCCCAGACTGGGCACCAGAGGATCATCGTTATATCACTGTCTCGGGGTGTTTTCTTGAATATCAGTACATAGAAGTGGCTCACAGTTCTCTTCAGATCTTCCTTGCAGTAAGTGTTTACAGATAGCTTTACTTCCACCACCTTTTCTAGATTTCTTCTTGCAGAAAGCCATTACCAGAACAGCAGAATATTGTGGCATTCATTCACAAATCTTGGCTCTAAGTGTTAGTTTTGTAATGAAACTCTGTTGTCTTGCAGCTAGTTCAAGACACCCGTACATGAAAAGCTCCAACATATATGTTTATTGTTGTGAGAATCGATGGCATGACACACTCTGTTTTCCTGACCTCCATTTTGACCATTGACCATGCCACAAATCTTTTGTAGCAGGTTACATTCAAATTACACTATAGGATAAAAGTTGTGACACAGTAAGAAGTTACAGTTATTGCTGTGAAAGCCAAATTGAATATAAAAGAAAAGCCAAAATGAAGGAGAAATTTTCAACAGTAAAAATAGATTCACTGATCAGCTCACAGGACCATATTAGTCAATATGCACTGGAGAAGAATGGGAAAGATTCTTCCCAAAAGAACAAAATGTTGTACTTGTATGAAAATCAAAACCAGAAATCTTTAATCTTTTTAGGAGGATAAGAATCCACTGTTACACTGCAGAAAATTTATAAGGAATGAAAATAGCTTCTTTTGGGGAAAATTGATAGGTTTTTCAACCATATTTACCTGTACTAATCATTTTGCCTTGTGTTGTCTCTGACCTAGGTAAAAAGATGACATAAGCACTGAATTAATTACATTGAATGACAATCTGCATTTTTATGTTTGCTCTAGTGATACATACATGTTCATGCCCATATGACTACAATAAAACTGTTACTATACATATAAATTTGGACCAGTGCCTCGGTACATGACTCCCTCTATATAAATTTTTTGTTCAAAAGATTCCAATGTTTTGTTCGAAGAGGGACCATACTGGCAAAAGAGAGAGGAAATTTGGTTAGTCAGATCCAGAAGTTAATGTAAGGCAGTTGGACAGTCCATAATATATAATGTGGCCCTCAGCTACCCAAAAAGTGAGCAGCTTTTCCATCTGTCTATTTCCCAGCCTAGCTGGAAATGGCCAAGTACCAGGTGAGTTCAGGACAATATATCTCTGTGTCAATACACCTCTGCGGGGGCTCTGCATGTAAAAGGTTGGTGGTTGATGCACCTGAAAACCCAGCTACCTCCCTTCAGTGGAGCCATCCCAGGTCTCCTCCATGCTCCTCAGCTTGCCACGTTGTAGCAGAGCAAAGGGACCCTGGCCAAGTAGGTAGCAAGGCAGGTACTAGATAGATCTGGAAGACAAAAGCAGCCCTTTCTCCAGGTAGTTCATACCTGCAATTTTGACAAGCTACAGCTGGTGCAAAAGAGACAAAGAGAAAAGTGCAACAAAATCAGTGTGAATAAGTAAATAAGATTAAAATAGCTTTACAATTTTATTTACAAGCAATTGTTATCACTCAAGCTTAACTCATAGAATCATAGAATCATTTAGGTTGGAAAAGATCATCAAGATCATCAAGTCCAACTATTAACCTAGCACTGCCAAGTCCACCACTAAACCATGTCCCTAAGCACCACACCTACATGTCTTTTAAATACCTCCAGGGATGGTGACTCAACCACTTCCCTGGGCAGCCTGTTCCAAGGCTTGATAACCCTTTCAGTGAAGAAATTTTTCCTAATATCCAGTCTAAACCTTCCCCTGGCACAACTTGAGGCCATTTCCTCTCATCCTATCATTATATCCCTATTTGTTACTTGGGAGGAGACCAACACCCTCCAACACCTCGCTACAACCTCCTTTCAGGTAGTTGTAGAGCGCGATGAGGTCTCCCCTCAACCTCCTCTTCTCCAGACTAAACAGACCTAGTTCCCTCAGTCGCTCCTCATAAGACTTGTTCTCTAGACCCTTCACAAGCTTCGTTGCCCTTCTTTGGACACGCTCCAGCACCTCAATGTCCTCCTTGTAGTGAGGGGCCCAAAACTGAACACAGGATTCGAGGTGCGGCCTCACCAGGGCCGAGTACAGGGGCACGATCACCTCCCTACTCCTGCTGGCCACACTGTTTCTGATACAGGCCAGGACGGCATTGTCCTTCTTGGCCACCGGGGCACACTGCCGGCTCATGTTCAGCCGGCTGTCAACCAGCACCCCCAGGTCCTTTTCCTCTGGGCAGCTTTCAAGCCACTCTTCCCCAAGCCTGTAGCGTTGCATGGGGTTGTTGTGACCCAAGGGCAGGAACCGGCATTTGGCCTTGTCAAACCTCATACCATTGGCCTTGGCCCATCAATCCAGCCTGCCCAGATCCCTCTGTAGAGCCTTTCTACTCTCAAGCCCTTCAAATGAAATATACAGGCTTATTTTTCTGCTTTTTTTTTTGTATGTAATGAATGATGAACAAGAAACTGAAGGAAGTTCAAGCTCAGTTCTGTTCCTCATGCAACAAGGTTTTTTGTGTGTCTGTGCCTAAATAGAGTTGTGTTTCTAGATAAGGTCATTCTTTGCAAGCCAGAGGAATGGTTCAGAATAACAAACCATTGGTAACCCGCCAGCTGTAGCCAACTACAGCTGGTTTTATATTTCCATTCATGTTACTGTAAATGTGATTATCATAGGTAAAGAGCTATACAGTATAAGCATGGGCCAATTTTCTAAACCTGGTGTTTGCAACTTTACCGTTTACATCATTTTCACATTTCTAGTTGTGGGCATGGAGTTCTTTTTCTAATAGAAAAGCTAGTATAAATTCACTATCATATTAAATGTGGTGAGAAACAAAGGAATTACCTGATACTGCTCAGTGACATATAACAGAAAGTTAGAAGAGCAGATATTGCTTGGTTTTCAGCAAACTAGCTTTCAACAAACCCAAGCCTTACATCAGATTTATCTCCAGTTACTAGAAAGAAATTAATCTTTCCTTTCAATTTTCTTTTATGGGCACTTAAATGGATCTTGCACTTTAACTTAAAACTATAAATTGCAACTTACAAATTCGTTACTTGCTTTCTTTTGTATTTCTGTATGTTCATGACAATGATCAAGCTAATGTTGATCTTGGCTTCTTCACGGGCTGGTGGCACTGCAGCATGTTTTTAAGGATATTTTCTATTGCCTACAGATAAAAAGTTACAAAGACATTCAGCTTCATTGAGGACCACTTATATCAGTCTTTGAAAACATTATACTGAGTGTGTTTTGTACAGCTTGACAATAAGCTCACAAGGAATCCAGCTGCAGAAGGTTAGGGTTCACATAGATGTGATATTTGCTGTGGATTACTTAGTGGAAAGAATATGACAGCCGAGATAAAAGCTATAAAACCCCCATGGTTTATACTTTCTAAAAAGCAAGCCTCAAGGTGGGCTGTGGAATATTTCAAGGATTGCAGGCAGATAGAGGAGATGCAGAATACTCATAGACTCCAAGAGACTTTCTCTCCCCAGAGGAACATGTCCTAGAAGCAAAGAGCACCAGATTATGAACCAAACAAATGCTGCTGCTAATTTTGTGCAAGTCAACACAGATTTTAGGTCTTTAAGAGTGAAATTTTGGAGAATTTTAATTTCTCCTACTGCTTAAACAAAGTAGTAATTAAAGCAACTGGAAGGTTAAATGATCCCAAAGGCCAGGAGAGTCCCGAGTGTGCAGAGTGGTGGTGTTCATTGAGTAATAGCAGCCTTAGAGACTAAAAGAGACAGATGTGATGATGCACAGATATTTTGCCAGCTTTTCCTGAGGAGTGGATTTTGCTCAGGATAAAGAAACAACTGGACAAAATTGCTAGTTTAGCTCACACTGAAGAAGTGACAGAAAATTCATTTTGGTGGTCTCTATATTTTGACCAGCTGAATGCTCATGATTTAGAAAATCTTCAAAATGGGGGAAAATTATTTAAGAACTAATGTGTGCAAGAAAATGCTCTGATAAAATAAGGATTATCCCAATTTGGGTATTTATCATTTATGTATGCAAAGCAGGGCTGGAATAGCCCACAGCGATAATAGGGGCTGCAAAGGAGCCACCACCACTCCATCCCATGACACAGAGCACTTAGTGCATTGGGTGATGCTGGTGGAAGACTACAGCCTCTGTACAGCATATCAGTAAATCAATCCTTGTATCACAGATATAAAAAATGACCATATAATGCACATTTATGTCTGTCTCGTAGCCATTCCCATGTCAGCACTTTACTTCTTGCTCAGCCACTGTCTGATTTTTTTTCATGTGTATGGAAATCTGTTTTGAAAAACTTCCACTGATTTTTCACTGAATTATTGTGGTAGTTCCCTCTGAAGTGGTATACCACCAAAATCTCAGTGCCACACACCATGCTTGTCAGTTTTTACTCCATGCTCCATACCAATACCTCCCATTTGGTTCTTCTGAGACTGAGCCACATTACTATCACTTTACTTCTTACCATCTTCTTCCAGTAAGTTAAAAAGAGAGAGGGGTTCAGAGTGAAGAAGGGAGAATGTGAGGGAGGGGAATCTATTTCATTCTTAAGTGCAGCTTTGCAGCCTGCAGTGCTGCAAAATAAACAAACATATTTTTAGGACACCACCTGCAGCACGCAGCTGTATGGAACTGAACAGAACTGCTAAGGGTGTGATTTGTTCTGCTTTGTGTGAAACCCTGGGGTCTGGGAAAACATGTGGGGAAGGTATTTCTATGGAACAACTGCCTCCTTTCCTGCCCTCCCCAATTCTTGGTAAATATCATAGCTGAATCTGTAAAGGTGAAATCTTAGCTTCATTGTGCTTTGACAGCAACAGTAATTTATTTAATGCTGTGCTGATACATTAAGAAAAAATGCATCGGTTCGGCCACAGCTAATTCATTTGTTTTGTTGCACAAAGCTAACCCTCAATGTGCTCACATACTGGGCAAAATTCTCCACTCGACTCTTCTCTCCCAGGGAAGTCCTGTTTACAGAGCTATGATATCTTGAGGACCTGGACCATCCAATGTGCTCTGCAAGGACCACAACTCTGCCTGTCCTTGGTGCCTACGTATTACCAAAATGACCTGGTCTGGCGATGGCATGACTTGGATACCCATATGCTTCATACATTAAAGTGTCCTTATGTGCTTAATGGTTATTGATTCTTGCTGCTTACATCAGAGAAGCTATTTCATTTTCAGGACTTCTGGGTTATCAAGGATAGATATTCTTAAATTACTGATCTCTGGAGAGAATTTTTCCAGGTAAAGAATGAGGTCAGTGGTACTAATGGAGGTTTGATTTGCTACTGGTTTGTGAAATTTGAGTTGCATTCTGTATAATATTTACAGAGTGGAGGCTGAATGAAAGTTCCCACCCACCCCTAAACAACAGGAGGTATATCTGGCACTTCACCATGGGGAGGGCAGTGCCTGGGAGGGACACAGTGCAGGGTGTACACCCCTGCTAATCTTGGCATGTAGCATCAGTGCTTATGGTTGTCGTTGGCTCTGTGTATAAATAGTACATGCATCCCAGCTTTTTGGTCACACAGCTAAAAAAGAGTTACAAGCTCGCAGTTTCACAGGCACCCACGCCATCAAAGTCTAATTCTAGCTATGGATCCTACGTACAATTTTCTTCATTTGCACTTGTTATCGAACTCTTGTCTTATAACAGAAGGTGGAAATCTTTTCAGTTCAGGTCTTGAGCTGTGGTTCAGGTCAGTGGATTCTGCTTCCAGGTCTACCACAATGTCCTTAGGAAAGTCATTTCGTCTCTCTGTGCCTCTTCCCAAGTGCTGCAGAGAGGAAAGCATGCCTAAATTTTTCATGTTCGATTTGTAAGACACTGTACCATCTGCTGATAGCGATCTCTTGGATCTCTCAAAAAGCTTCTAAATGTGGATGGCACCCAGTACAGTAAGGCCTTTGTGTGGTACAAGGAAATTATAATAATGGTAATTGCATTTCATACAGAAATCAAGCTCAGATTCTCTACATCTTCCTCTGCCTGTGTTTTATTCTTTGATTATGCACGACCTGCCCCCACTCCCACAAGGCTGTTCTTGCAAAAGTTGACAAATTAAAATCCATTTGTAGATCAAAACTCTGAAAATATGCAAATAAAAGATCAGCCTTGGAGATAAGTGTGACAGAATTACATATCTATTTGCCAACGCAGGATTAAAAGTATTTATTATACTTGTCTTTTACTCCTCACTTACACACTCACAAGTCTATTGATTTTAGTGGAACTAAGTGCCCGAGTTATGGGAATAAGACTAATGTGAAGCCATCACCTTAGCCAATTTGGTTTTTAGTTATATAGCCCTCGAAAAGATGAACTGTGTAATATTATTCCAGTAAAATGAGTGGGGAAAAAGCATTTCTTATGTGCTGTATCTACATTATTGATGGTAACTTACATACCAAATAAATAAAACCATAAGTAAACTGTTACATAAAAGTATTGACTATTTTTATAGTGATCCTGTCCACTGACTTTTATGTGCCGTATATTAGTCTTAATTCCTTTTTGTTCCTTCCTGTATTTATACTTGAGTATATGCTTCATGCAATCATTAAAATTATTATTTCATGCTTTAAAATTTGTAATTATCCATCCATACTTGTTACGGTAAATGTATACTATTTGGGATTCTGCGAAGTCTACGTCATGCATAATAACTTTCAAGCTCTGATGTTGTCAGATTGATTTAAAACATCGTGAAGCGTAACTGTGTTATTAAGATGCAATAATACAGCTATGCACTTAGAACACAAGCTTCAAAATCTTTGCTCTGTTGCAGACTTACAGTATGACCTTTGGCAGGGTGCTTAATTCATGCCAATTATTGTCTGTACTATACAAACAATGGTTCTTAAATATTTCAGAAAGATGTTGCCAGGATAATTCCATTAAACATTGCAAAGTAATCAAATATTACAGAAAGGTGGTCCGTGTATGTATTTAAGCACTTAGAACAGTAGAATAGCATTAATGTTCCCTACTTCTCTCACGGATTAATAATAATTAGAAGAGAGTACTCTTAAAATCCTTAATGTTAGCGTAGCACAGGTGACATTAAATAGTCTCATGCCCTTGTGGAGAGATGGAAGTAGTGGGTAATCGTGTACTCTCATAGGAATTTCTTTACTGGACTGTCTATTTGTGCTTTAGACCCACATGCTCAAATATGTTTCTAACAGTATAATCACTTAAAAGAGCCCAACAGTGCTGAGGACAGTATGATTGCAAAGCAAAGCAGTAGTTCCTGTCCAAAGGAACTAACCTTCAAAGTACAAAAAATGCAATTCGATCCATACAGACAGAAAAGAGGGAAAAGACAGGAAAACAGAGAAGGAATACGAGTTTGCAGTTTCAGCGCACCTCTTGTTTGACCATTATCAGCTTTTTTGTAGGCATGATAGAAAAGCCCTAAAAAGGGCTATGAACCAGAATAAGTAAACTTTTCATTATCTGATGGAAAATTCTCCTAAAAGGCAACAAAACAGGAAAGCGTGTGAAAATTTGAAATTTATTAAGTGGCTGACAACAAGCTGGTGGCTCATCAGTGGTGCACTCTCATACCGACAGGAGGGGACAAGCCAGGTGGGACAAGCCACAGAGTGCCTTGCAGGTGAATGGAGTGTTTGAATTTCACTGGAAGAAACTAAGGAGAAGAAATGGAGGGACAAAACAAGCTGTGGAAAACCATCTCTGCAGTAGCCTTCCAGATGGGCTCAGTCTAGACTGAGACGTTGGTCAGGAGCAGGGAGAGGACGTGGCACACGTAGGAGCAGGATGCTCCTCTGAAACTGAGATTCACTGAGTAAGAGATCAGGAGGGCATCAGCAGGACAGCAGAGGTTAAAGGAACAGAGACTTGCAAAACTCCTGCATTTAGAGCAGGAAAGGGGAACGAGCCTTCTGCAAGGGAAAAGAAAAGTACATTCTACCTCTTTTTTCTTTTTCCCTTTAATTTTCTTTTTTATTTGGGAAGACATTGGTGAGACCTGAGCAGAGAAAAAGGCTAGCAGTTCCTCCAGAGACACCAGCAAATGACAGAGCAGGACTAAAAGAAGCGAGCAGTGGGTGTAAAGCGTGTGGGTGGGTGTATCAGCAGGACAGACTGCATGATAGGAGGAGGGGCAAAAGAGCAAAGGCAGGGGAGATGAGGGAGGGAGTCATAGGAATACATGAAAAATAAAAGCTGTCTAACTAATGATGTTGTTAGGAATGAGGTAAACAGCAAAAAAGTGTTTCTCTGGGTCCCAAAATATGCATGAGTAGAATCAAACAAAACATAAGTCGGCCCTGGCTTGTCCAGGTTGAAATGCTAAAAGTGAACGGACAGGTCCTTTTGTCAGAGCTACAAAGACTTCAGGGCAAGGAACAATCTAAGAACTTGTACTGGATTAAAGGTCTTCACTGATTTCAGATGGATAATACTCATCTTTTAGGAAGTGTCACCAACCCATGTAGGCTTTGGGTTCTGCTAATAAACCATCATACCCCATTCCTGTGCTCAAAATACATACAATGTGATATGCTGGGGGAAAAAAAAAAAAGAAGATAAAGATCAGATCTACTTGCTGCTAATGCAAAAAGCCAAAGCTCTTGCAAAACATCTGACCCTCAAAGTAACACTGGATTCTTAATTTTCCAGTTCCTTTGTGCTGAGCAAAAGTGGCACACAGGACATCTATTCGCAGTAACAAGCCTGATGCCGTTTTCCTTTCTAGCCAGCACAAATGTCTTCAGTTATGCAGGAAGCACATCTTGCACATAAAAGCCCTCGCTCAGATTTACCCTTGCTGATTTTGTTTCTCCACCTCCCTTCTGACAGCAGCCTCCACCTCTTCCACATACATGCACCTTGCACATCGGCTGCCTCCTCCTGTGCTTGTAGAGTGGTGAGAATATTTATACATGAGAAAGGAGACAAGAGCTCGTGTAATCAAGTTTTGACTCTTTGAACCTAATGGGGAAAAATAACATTATTTAATTAAGGTGGAGTTCTTTTCTAGGGCAACACAATGATTGAAAGAAAATTGATTCTTAATGATATAGATTGGTACTTCAGAAAGACTGCTTTTTCACTGCAGGACTGGGCAAAATCAACACAATGGGAAGAGGGTATGAATCATTGTAAAGTGCTAATTTAATAACACTGTCGTGCCATGTTAGCAGAGGAGCAACATCAGGTTCAGGCATCTTTGACATTGCCTCAGAGCACAGTATATTGCTGTTTCTCTGTTTGACAATAATGTTAGACCATATGTCATTAGTGTTTTGAAGGACTACTATAAGAAGGGATTTCTTTATGCCTACATGTGTTATCTGTTGTTGCTTCTATCAAATTTTACCTGCGTTTCTTCACTACTCCTTGCAGAAAACTGAATTGTACACATCAAAGCATAAACGTTTTTTTAATGAGCAGGGAGCTTTGTCAGTAGAATTGTGCTCATTCATTTCCCTAAAAGCTTCCCTTTTTGATGAACTGGGTTCATATAAAGCTAAGTTATATGATAATTGTCTGAAAACAAGTTTGCTCCGACTCAGTGGAGAGAATTCAGCTTTAAATGGAGTTACCTGACCAATGCACACAGGATTGTCTCTGAGAGGTTTATTTCCCTGATGAAATGAAAGGCAACAGCACCAGCATGAGCTGAGACTGGAAGAAGCAGTTTTGCCTCTCACAGATGCTCTCGCTCTAACAAAGGCAAATAGTGAATGTGATTTTTTGGGGGGAGGGGTCAGAATTGTGATAACCAAGAGCTGAACCTTAGGCTCGTTGCTTTAAGGCCTGAGGGAAGTTTCCTGAGAATTTGTTTTGACCATCTCATATGTATTCTTTCACACAGGGGACTCTGATTCTGGCTGACCCTGTAGGGTAGATAGTTATACGATACAGCAATGAGATTATTGCTCCCCAGGTTCAGTGCCTCATGGCTGTCCTGGGGCTATGTGATGCTGGTGGTGGTGTGCTGACTGGTGATGCTGCTTGCTGACTTGCTGGGATTTAAATTATTCCTCAATTCTGGTACTAGCCAAGTCCTGTTACCATTTTTACAACACTGTCATAGCATAAGAGTTGCATGTGAACACTTTCCAGCTATACATAGGTCAGATGCCTTGGATTGGGGTCTTTTTACCTAGTTTTGGTGAACTTCTACAGGTTTTTTATGTTTTAAAGAGATTCTGGACAAAGAGCCTAGTCCATTCAATTTTCTTTCTCTACAAGTGAATTTGCAAATTACGCATGCTTTAGATGTAAGAATAATATTAAGAAGAATAGGAATAACAATAAATAGCACAAACTTCTGTAATCATAAGTATTCCGTTACAACATGTAATTAAACAAAAAGGAATCCCTCTTCATACTGAAAACTCATAGTCAAGTGCCAGGTTCACCGACCCCATTTTTGAGCTGATTCTGAAGGTACAATAAACACATGAATGCTGCTCCTTAGAAATATAAAAAAGCAGCCACAGTACAGATACACCCCAGTATCACCATGCTCAGTATTCTTGCTGATGTTACAGTCCTGCCTTGTTCTGCCATATACAAATGCAGCTATTATTTTGCCATTTTGCTCCACACCCCATAAAGAACTTACAGTTCCAGAAGCAAGAGGCCTCAGTTCATGAGTTAAGGTAATTTCTTCCTAAATATAAGAGAGGGAGTGATAAAACACAGAGCCAGCTTCCTCACTTGGTTATGGAAAATAACGTATTTTCCCAAAAAATGCAGAAAAGGCCAGTACTATGGCTGGTTTTCAGGTAAGGCATTCAAATTTGTATTGAAACTTGTATAGTATACTTTACGTAGTATACTTCATGTTTTATTTTTGTGTGCTGTTAGCACAGCTTCCTGTGCCAAAGATAAACTGAGCACATAAAAGTATAGGGTTTTCTGTGAAAACAGAATTACCTGTTTTTCAGCTTTAGTCATGACAATTCTGGTCAAAATGGTTCAGAAAATCTGGTCTGTTAAATTCACCAAAGACAAACAATGTCAGCAACTGCAACTGAACCTGTTTTGAAGGTTCTGCCCAATGATAGATTCCTAAATTTCCTACATTATGAATTCTGTAACTTTTTTCCCCATTTTCTAGCACAGATAGCATATTAAGGCTTTTGCGTTCCAGAAAAAAGTACCTAGCTTTCTGTGGCAACTGTGTACCCTGGGACCCTTGGAATAAGTGTCTGAGGCAGGCCAAGAAAATGGGGTCAGAAAACTGCTCATATTATTTTTGATGACTGAAGTTTCTTATGCAATTTCAGAAGTAGAGCTGAGTGGGAATTTTCTGAAGAAACATGACTCTTTTGGAAATGCATCAGTCCTGAAATGTTTTGTCTTAACATAACAGTGTCAATGAACTTCATTTAAAGTGTAGGCAAGTGGCCATTAACATAGTACCTGGTTTCCTGCTAGATTTCTCGGCTGGCTTCTTGGGCTCTGGTCTTTCATGGTATATTTACACTTGGACAGGACACATCCTAAAAACTGCAACATGAATATCCGTAACGTTGAACTTCTGCTACGATCCCTGTAATGCATTTGAACCAGACCAGCTATCACTGTCCCAGACATTGTTGGGGCATGTGTGCAGGGGTAGCACAAATCAGGGAGCATCTGTAATAGCCAGTTTGGATCTGCTCATCTTGTTCTGGGGGATAAAAAGAGCTTGTTTGTGTGAACACAAGCTGTGCTGCACCATTTGGCCTCCAGGCCAGAAGACAGTCTCCAGGTTATTTCAGCTGCTACTATGTCTATATACACTTCTGTACATCCACAATGTCATGGCAATTACACACTCAGAGCCTGTGTTTCCTAGAGATGTAGTAATACCAACACTAACCAGATTTCCAGCTAGTGTTTGAGTCATGCTGTGGCCCACAGCTTGGAGTCCAGGAATGGAACATGAACTGTAACCCAGTAATGTGCGATTTTTTTTGAAAATCCTAATTTTTTAGTGCTTACATAGCATGCAAAACAATGTATGCAATAGAGAAAGATCCTCTGTAGACACGTCCTAAGGATTCTTAGCTCTCTGACTTCTGCAGTGCTGCAATTCTAAAGAGAGTGGCATCTGAGATAACTTTTTGTCGTAAATTTGCTGAAGCTTCCACCTGAAGCCCAGATTTTAAATGACAGGTAATATTCATTAGTGAAAAATGTCATTGTTACATCCAACTGAAGAAAATTACTCTCCCTTGAAATCAGAGGTAATCTGTTCTTTGCACATATTCTCAGAAGACATCAGCCAATTCTCACCACTTCTTTAATAGATGTTATCTTCAGCACTGGCTGGACAGGTAGAGAGCACATTCGTGTACTGTTGATGTGTTTGGGGGGCTTTCAAGATGTGCTCATTAACAGCACCGTTCACCTAAACTGCAGCACTATTGAGATATCAGTTTTTCAGTACCTGACTGCTTGAAACTGATTGGCATAAAATGATTCGTGTTTTCAAAACTAATAGAGCAGAGTTTTTTCCCAGCAGGCAGCATCCTTTTAACTCTACCCTTGAGCTCTGCCAACTTAACCTCCATTCATTTCTGAACACAGTAAAGGAAATAGATATTTCCTAATGTATACAAATTAATAATGAAATGTTGGGTCTTTTCCTCTGCTTTATTTTATTTTTGGATGTCCGGGTGTTCTGCAAACAGATTGGTCATGTGCAAACAGTCATAACCTGAGGAAAAAAAGCATCTGCAAAACCACAGGAGCGTTTGTCTGCTGGTAACGATTGTTGCCATAGATGGGAATTCAACATTGACATGACAGAATTTATTTTTCCTTATATGTAGACAATGATCAAGTAGTGACATCTGGAATCTACCCTAGAGGTTCAAGTCAATAAAATATTAATAGCTGCCATTTCCAGCGAGGAGGGTGTAACAAGAACACAGCAGAGGAATCTCCGACATTTTTGCATCTATTGTTCTTCCTACTTAGTTAACCATTTCCCCTTCCACATACTCTTCTCCTAAAGATTAGGGAAAGTAAATCTGGGACTGAGACATAATTCCCTGTCTCCAATCTAGGGAAACTGCTGTTCAAATAGCCCTGTTTTCTGTGAGTGCTCTGTTGGGAAGTGGCTGCTGACAAGAGGCTGGATCCTCTGGTCCTCCTCGCTCCCACCGAAGCCGGGAGGACTGCAAACTGACCGCACACAGCTGATTCACAATGAAAACCAGGCACAGAAATCAAGGCAGCGCCGGGCGGTCTCATCGGAAGCACTCACCATTTTACCAAGAGGTTACCAAGGCTTTCCTCAGCAATTCAATTCAGTATATTTAGTCATGATGAGCAGGGAGAGTATGGGGAAGAGAAGGGCTGTCGAGCCTTGCTTCAGACAATCCCGTTCTTCCCATTCCCCTCATTCAGTGAGTAAGTATTAATAGTCACTTATGCATAGGAAGAAATAATGAGGTTTAATGAATCTCCAAAGATCAGCTACTTCATAAAAGCAAATGCCACACTTTTATCAGTTAAAGGCCTCCAAGTCCAACATCAGCAGCAGAGGGAATTTTTATTTTAAAGCAAATTGCACCCAGTTTCGGTAAATTATCACAGAATGATTACTCGACTTTTATCCAGTCAATGTTATGCCTCCCTAGTGAATCGGTTTATTGTCAGTATGTCTGCTTCAAAACATGTCTTCCCTAGAAAGCACTCCTTCATTCAGCTTCTGCCACTGGAAACAGGCAACAGCTTGAAGCTGGCAGCTGCTCTTGAACAAAGCAGGTAGAGATGCAGAAAGGCTGCCGAATCCATAACAATAAGCACATCATGACATAATTACAGTAAACCTCCAGAGTGGTCTGTACACACAAAATGCCATATGTTTTGGGTAGAGGAAGTGTGCATTAGTAAAACCATAGTATAACATAAGCATTTTCCATAGTAGTCCTGTTAGCATGAAATTGATTTTTTATCTTGAAAATTAGCATTGTCAGAACAGAGGATAGTGTTTGAATGGTCAGCTAGTTAGACTGGGGGGATATATTTAATATCCCGAAGGGCAAGAGGAGGTGATAGAAAGGGATTTTCCAGTTGTAACTGTGCATAATCTAATAGCTGCTGCATCCATTTAACCTTTCTTTGATATGGTCTTCTTTCACCACTGCCTGTAATAGCTGTTCTGTTTTCTAAATGTCTTCATTTGACTTTGAACAGGTTAATAGGATTTACTGCTTCTGCAGCCTGCCTATACAAAACAGATTGTCAATATGGACAATACTTTGTGGTCTGTCAGGGAATAATAGACTGCTTTCTCCATCCCTGCTTTTAGGAAGTGATTTAGTTTCCTGAAGATTTAGATACAAATGGGAGAGGGGGGGAAGGTATTTTTTCTGCGCGAGTCTAGCGTGAGCTGGCACTGCTA